GACAGCAACCTGTTTGCACATCTCGTGTTGCTGCTGTGCACTCAATCAGCTTATCTTGGGTAGACACACATCCTTGCCGGTTGAAGTCAAGATTGCTGCCAAAGCTGGCCTGCCCAGAGACTAGACAAGTCGGCGTCCTTTAAAGCGCTTTCTGGTCTTTTGACCATGATCTCTAACAGCATGTGAGATGCAGCGGCCACAGAAGACACTTACATGAGGGCGTCCATCTATCAGCAAATCTGGGATCAACTACTTGCCATAGAACGTAGAATCAATGATCTTGCCATCCCATTTGAGTTCACTCCGTTAGCAGCACTATCATTGAGCACCAAATGCAACGCAGACGGCTCTGTGAAAGCTCCCAAAGTCAACTTCACCAGTGCTTTTGTTGCTTCCAACGCTGCAGCTCAGGCAAGCAGCAACCTCTTTATCGCTGATGCACATGCGGCACTGAAGTCCAAAGTTCGAGGTCTGCGCAAGAAGAAGGACCACAATGTCTCCTCTGCGGACCCTACTTTATCAACCAAGCCGGCCATTTCCTTGGTGCGAGATGTCAGTTGCCGCAAGCCTGACACTCAGTCAGCAATCACCAGCCGCCACAATGTCTTCTCTGCGGGGCCGACTCTAGCCAGCAAGCCGGCCATTTCCTTGTCGCGAGACATCACTCGTCGCGAGCGCCAAAGTCACTTGGCAAACACAAGTCGCCGCGATGTCTCCTCCATGCTGCCGATCTCGCCCACAGAGCTCGACATCTTCTTGCAAGGTGTCAACTCTTGCAAGCGTCATGCCATGCCCTCGATCGCGAGCCGGCTCCATGTCACCTCTGCGGCACCGACTCGATCCGGCAAGCCCAACATCTTTTCGCGATCTAACAAAGCTCACGAGGTTCAGCAGAGGCATCCCCCGCTTGCAATGGCTCTCCTTGGTTTGCCCTTTGTCGAGCCAGCCCCCCGAGCAAGAAAGTGCAGACCACGTCAGTCAGTACTTTGCGTCACATCAGCTGTGCCACTCCCGCCCCTCACCCAGCACCGGTGCCCTCAAGTCTCATCGAAGAGACGCGCTGCACGCTGGTTGCCAACCCACGCAGGAAAGTGATTAGCAGGGCAGAGCTTCTGGGCAACATGTGGGAACGTCTCGAGGCAAGAGAGAAGAGGTACGGCATAAAGGTTGCTAAGGCTCCCCTTGCGCCGTCGCCAGCAAAGTAAAGTCACTGCTCGCTTCGCAATAGTCCCAGCGCTCATATTCATGAGCTTGCTGGCAGTCAGAGAATCGCGCGCAGTTTACTGCGAGGGCTCTGATCGAGTCAGAGATTTGTTTGCAGTTCACTGCAAGGGCTCTGACTGGCTCGCATTGTCCCAATTGGCCCTTTCTGGTCAGAGAAACTTTGCCGTTTTGCGGTGAGGGCTCTGAGCGGATGGTCAGAGAAACTTTGCCGTTTTGTTGTGAGGGCTCTGAGAGGACCCAACGCGACGAAGTGGACGAAGACGATGGAAACGAAGATGACACACAGCCACCACTTTCAAAGACCGAGCCATGCTGCTCAAGCTTAGGGCAAGCAGCCCATAACTTTGCAACCCTCTCCTATTCCTTTTAAAGACAAGCGATGCTGCTTCTGCAAACAAACTCTCAAGCGCGATAGCGCTTCAAGGCTACTGGTGTTTCCGAATCGCTTCTTCTCCTATCCCCCCTACTCCCAATGTTTCGCGCTGATTGCCTCATGTGCTTGTTGTTCCATCATAAGTCGGCCCTCGATCGAAAGACTTTCTTGATTTTCTTAAGGATGACTCCTGAACTGAAGCAAAGTGTCTGCCTGCGAGATGATGATAAGGTACACTACAGACCTGGCATTGCTTTCTTTTGCCTTAACGGTCAGGCCGCGACCACTTGAAGATGATTCTTTCACGCTATGACAATCGCATTAGTGATGCTGGATGTAAAGGGGATTGCTCGCGATTGTGCGCATGGTGCTCAGATGCATATTCGACACGGAGATAATGGTGTTTGATTCACAGGTTGCTTGCATGCTATGTACATGCATCCGCGGGATAGGGGCGTGTCCGTCATGTGCGACAGCATAGTCACGCGCGACGTGCTCCTCATTCAAGATTTACACTTCAATGGTCATCTCATTGTTGATCGTCAGTCGGAAGGGAGAGTGGATGCATGAATGAGGAGCGTCACCTCACTCATTCGTTCCAGAGATAGATGTAGTCAACAATCTTGACAACAAGTTTCAATAGAGTCATGAGCCACACAGCAAGCCACGCGGCAACAATGGCCTTCTCAGCCGCATCTTGCACATCTTCGCGGCTGCCACTGCCCGTGCCCTCTTCTTCGCTGACAGGTTCTGGAATTGTTTGTTCCAGGGCTTGCTTTGCTGCTTTGGCAGCCTTGCGATTGTCGTTTTTGCGCTTGTAGCGCGCACGTTGGGCAAGGATGCCCTTTCGTCCCTTCAGTCTGTCCTGTGTACCGAATGAGACCACAAACACCTCAAATGTCAGCTGGGGAAGTGGCGCTGCGACAGTATGTATGCGTGACAGATGTCATGCCATCGCGCTACAACAGCTGGGCAATCGAGGCCTATGATATCCGCAAGATGCCGAAGCCGTGCACTCGGTAATCACCATCGCCAAGCGGAGCTGACTCCGCAAATGCGAAGCATTGGCCACGCTCGTATCTGCAGTTCCGACCATCTCGGCTTCCGGGATGCATACACTCACTCTTGGATGGACATGGTCCTCTTCGCCGCCCGTATCGAGCGTGTGCGTGCTACCAGACGCGATGTTGTCACTCATGGTAGCAGTGAAGAGCAGTCCGTAGCGATGAGAGGTGCGTACGTCAAGAGAGCGCTTTGCTTCTGGTTGCGCGCCGCAATTGTAGTGTAGCGACAAGCAGATGTGGCTCAATCAAAAGCGTGATTGACGCGGCAGAGACTTTTGCTGCTGCGTGATTTGTGATTGTGAGGGGATGATTGCGAGGTGTGCCTGCCGCGTTGAGTCTACGTGATCGTGAGCTGTAAAGTGTCGGTTGGGGGGTCAGGATTGAAGATCCACGCGGACTGTTCGTCATTTTGGTGAATCGTGCCAGCGCGCCAGGCGCGCAGTGCTGTGAGTATATACATGCAGCACTCGTGCGAGACTTTTGTCGCTGCTGCGCCGTGCATGGATTGTTGCGCGGCTTGTTCGACAAGAATATAATGAATATGATAATTTTTGGAATTCCATCATGTTATTTATTTGGGGATGTGCAGCTTCAAGTGCGGGGTTCCGAGTGGATCTCATTCCTCCAGCCATGCATGTGTATATAAGTTCCTTTGCTGCTATAGCCAGCTTAACGAAGCAGCCGTCACAACCTGCTCTAGAGCACACTTGTGGTGCTTGCTAAAGGCTCACAGAACAACCACGTCAATGCATCCACCGTGCCAGGAGATCTGCGCTGAGAGACTCCTGTATTCAAATGAAGACTGTAAGACTTTTTGAATCGGGCAGTAGCACAACGGTTCTGACTCAAGACTGCGACCATGAGCGGCCGCAATTTGGTGATGGAACGCGCGTGTCCAGACCATGCTGCTGTCCCCCTTCTGCTCAGACATGCCGCACGACTTGAGCAAAAGGGACACTCCATCAGAACAGCTGCTACAAGGTGAAGCGATTTGCCTTGACGGAAGGCTACCGGCAGACTTGCCTCTCTCGTCTCCCCCACCCCCGGTCTGTGGAAGATGCACTCGAATTCCTGCAATTATGACAGACACTCGAAGAGGATGGCAGCAATAGGACTGGGAAATGTGCACGGAGGCGTGCCTAACGCTAGCATCAAAAAAAGTCTGTGACAGCTAATGATGCAATGTTCTCGTCCAGCATTGAGTTTGGTCTTATGAGCTTGAGCAGTAGGCAACATTTTTTTTTTGTGCCGAGGCAGTTCTTTGCGGCAATTTCTTTTTCATTCACAGAGACCTAATAAATATTGCAAACAAATTCTTGAGTTTAACATCATCGTGTTTTTTGACCTCTATGACACTACCAGGATGAAGTAATTGCAGCGCAGTATGTCAGATGAAGTTCGACATTTGTTCATCGATTTGCGAGTGATCAGCTATGCTGTCGGAGTCGTATAATGGATAGATGCCTGGAATGCATGCAAGCCCTGCGAATTCGTTGAGAAGACATGCACAGAACCATATTTCACGAGGGCGAGGCGTCCCAGTCGTCACATGACCGTCTGTACGCAAAGAGTATCCACGTTAGCCAGACGCGTCAAAGGCAAAAATATGCAACCCTTGGCTTCGTATTTTGACCACTTAAACCGCCTCGAGCCCTTCGGCTGGCATTACTTCTTTTACGAGCTTTCTCGCACACCACGGCTTTCAACT